AAAGAAAAAAAAGAAAAGAGTATCATACAGTCTCAATGTTTCAAGTGTCCAGAAAACCTAGCTAATTGAAAGTTCTTAGAAGGTGCTGGCTGGCAATACCATAGATACTGTCTTCTAACTGTTCTTTCCTACCTGTTCCAATTCTAAGTCATCTTGAAAATTTTAAGATTCAGGGCCCTTGCCCCCATGAGTATCCTCTTCTCACTCATGATGGGAACTTCTCGCTAGATAAGGAGCCTTTCGTTTCAAAACTGGAAACTTTTTTTTTTTAATTGATTTTAGAGAGAAGCGGGGGAGGGAGAGAAACATCGATCGATTGCCTCCTGCACACGCCCTAACCAAAGATATGTACCATGACCAGGAATTGAACCCACCACCTTTTGGTGTAGGGGATGACACTCCAACCAACTGAGTCACACCAGCCAAGGCCACAATTGGAACCTTTACCATAGAAATTTAGGAGCAGAGCCTTTGACTCAGGAAAGGGTGCCATGAGAGGAAGCCCACTTAGGGGAAGCCTGCCCATCCTCACCTGAGAAAATTAGGGTTCTCAGTGGCCCCACTAGACAAGGACAAATAACACTGGGTGACAGGTGCTGGGAGGGGTTGTGCAGCTTCTCTTGTCCTCTCAGTAGAGGCAATGGAGAGGAGAGGATCGGGACCGTTGAGCCCTGCTGCCTGGTATAGAATCCCTCTCTCTGCCACTTAACCTGTGTGGCCTTCTGCTCTGTATTTAGCTTCTCTGAATCTCATTCTTCTCCTGTAAAGTGCAGGTGGAATAGTACCTACCTCCTAGGATTTTTATGGGGGATAAATGAGAAAATGCATGCCCAGTGCTTAGAAAAGAGTCTGGCACACAGTAAGTGCTGAAAACTGCTTATGGCCTAAAAGGGTAAAGGGGGGGTACTAAAAGATACGTCCTTGAGATACCAATTTCAGATCAAGATGCTTATTTTTTAAATGTCACAGTGACCATCTCCATTTTAATATGAAACCAGAAAGTCCTATTGAAGATGTAATGCTACCACCCTAAAAATAATTTTCTTAAGTTTCCATCTAATAGATACCCAACTGCTTACTTAACATTTTACATTGCTTTGGTTTGTTTTTATTGCATAGGCCAGATCAACAGAAAAAAATAGACTTTCCTTTTTTTTTTTTTTTTTTTCCCCTTCCCTTCTTAGCTTCAAATAACTTCTTTCAGTAGAAGGAAGTCTGCATTAAATCAGCCACCATTAGGTGCTTGGGTGAATCCAGGGACTAAATCCTGACTTACCTATAAGAACTGTTCTGTAGGATTCCCCTTGAGCAACAAACCTCATGAGTAAGGGATGCTGGAATGTATCCCGTGTATCCCCTACGTTATTAGTTCACCATTGCCCTGAGTATTATCTATGGATGCCATTACCCCATTGTGATCTATTTTTTAAAAGCTTTCTAACCCTTCCAGAAAAGTCATGTAACTTGGTAGAATGAAATATATCAGGTCAGTCAGCAGTCATCCGAGAGCCTGATGGGCCAAGCCCAATGTTGGTAGGTGTGTGGAGGGTAGGGACTTGGGGAGGAGGTCAAAGGCCCAACCCAAATGCTGCTCCAGGGACATTTGCCTTGTTTAGGAAGAGCCAGGCATGCACACAGGTGAGGTACTGGGGTTATTTCTAGTGTTTTGACCATTAACAAGGAAAGAAGACTTTGGGTTTTTTTGTTTGTTTTTACAAAACATCTATATTATCAAAAATTTGAGCTTTCTACCCTTGTGAATTGAATTCAAATCACAAAGGTAAATAATATTTCCCCTTTTATTGTCTATAAGTGACTTGTGTGAAATTCTTCTATGTCAGTGTCATCAAAATGCATAGCTGCTTCTCATGGGATTCCTGCAGAAAGAAACGATAAGGATTTTAGCCACAGTTGTTTTGGGCTCTGCCCATATTCGTTTGCTTTCTCCCTTCATACTGATCACTGAAAGTAGGTGTCTACAGAGGTTATTCCCAGATACGTAAATTGTTTTGGGAGGCTTGACGTTTTCTTTTGAGGAAGGCTATTAAAACTAAGAAAATGTGTTTATACTTTCTTGGGTGTGTGACTTGTGGGCAGTTAGCAGCTTGTTCTTGCCTGATTAGGTTTTGGTAACCTGTGAAGAAAGTAAGATCTCAGATGTTAGCTCTTCTCTTGTCCAGATGATAATGTTAGTGAATTTGTTCATGTTCAGTAAGTTCCTGTGGGTTCTTAGGACTCTCCAAAAGGATAATCTTACATTCCCTCCTGAAATACTCTTAGGGAGGGAGCACGCCCAGTTCATAGTGGGCACTTTCCAAGTATTTTTCCTTGAGCTAAAGTTGAAGGTTTCCTTTGAAAATATCCCAAAGCTGTTCCTTTCCAGGAATAATTGCTGTTAAGGGCTCTTGATAAGATGGCAAGTTCAAAAACACTTCTCTTGAGAGACTGGGGAGCCTTGGGGCCAAAAAAAAGAGTCAGCTGCCTATGCTAGACACTAAGCCTGGCACACAGGAAATGTACAGTGGACGGTTATGAAAAAAGCAAACCTTGTATTGACTCCTCCCCACTTAAGTGGGGGATCCTCTCAGGCTGGGATACCATCTTATGCAACTTAAGACTTTGCTAACAGATTCAGCTCTCCAAGCCCCATGAAGAGGATCTCTCTCATTTTTTCCTAAATGCCCAGGTGGACCTTGGGTCACATTTTGAGAAACATAATCAGTTTAAAGTACCACTTTTTAACCTCTTTGGGATCTATTGGAGAATTTTTTTTTTTAATGTAAAAATACAAGTAAAAGTTTATTGTACAAAATTAAGGCCTTCACATTTCATAGTTCACTAGTAGGTAATTTTTAGAAACCTACACAAAAATTTTACTTTCACTTCTTCCCATCCCCAACTATTAAAATGGCCTGACCAATTGTTATGAAAACAAACACGATAAATAACACCAAGTCCTTTAAAGACAACTATCCCAAATGTTATTTCTTGGCATAGGTGATCTTCATGGCATGGGATGGTGTGATCTTAAATCCTTGTAAAGCGTCTCTGGCAGCTCCAGCCTGTCCATCATTTTCAAATTCGACAAATGCGATATCATGCCTCCCAGGTACCAAACGTACTTCCTTGAAACCAGGGAACTGATTAAACAGCATGGATAACATCATCTCTTTAGTCTCTTCTGGTAAATTATTAAGGAATAAAATATAGTTTGGAGAGTAATCGGGGACCTGAGGATTTGGCGCTGCATTTCCTTGGGTGTTAGCTGAATTTGGTATTCCCAGACCAGGCTTCTTATTAGCAGTCAGTGCTATCTGCTCCACAGTTTTGACTTTCTTCTTTTCTTTTTTCTTTTCTTTGTCAGCAAAGGTGCCATGCATTTTAGATATTATATCAGAATCTGTTTTTGCATACTGGATTCACATTGGTTTACCATAAAATGGAAATCCCTGTAACTGTCTCAAGGCATTTGTGGATGAGCCCAGTTCTTTAAATATAACAAAAGCTTGGCCCCTCATCTTCATGGTCTTTAAAGCTACGATATGTACCACATGGCCAAACTGAGAAAACAGGGCATATAGGGATCTCTTCAATTCTTTTTTAATTTTGTCATTCATATTGTTGATATAAATTGTATGGTTTGGTCTGATATCCATCTTTGTGTTAAACTGTTCAAACTGCCTGAGGCCGGCACGCCGTCCCATAAGCACTGGTATTGGAGATCTTTTGAAGGTGTAAACACTACTGCAGAAATGCATAATTTTGTATATGGTTTCCTTGAGGCCATGAAACCCTGTTCTCAAGAACCATAAGTATAGTTTTACCTAGATGTTAAAGTTATTCCTAGCAGCTTTTACAATCCAAGAATTGTTTTGTTTCCCCAGTTCTCAGCCTGTTATTGAAGAAAGTGGTTCTTCATCCTTCGTAGACAGGTGTGTTTCAGCCATCCACTTAGCAGTGTGCCCTGTCACTAATGGTACTGCTGGCGTAGCTAATGCCGGTGTGCAACTGGCTCACTGCTCTATCTTGTGCTCCTACAGGCATGTCAAGTTTGTACAGTCAGTCACTTGAGTATTTACTCACACTTAGTATATAAAGTCAACAAAGAAAACTGGAATAATATGAAGAGGGGAAGTTAAAACATTTTTACCAACCTGAGTGACTCTTGTATCTGAGGATAGTTGGCATTTAGCAGTCTATGTTCGAACAATAGGTCTGTAAGAAAAGAAATTAAACAAAACATTGCACTCTGGTAACCGGACCTCTCAGTTTTATTTTCTTAAAAATATTTTTTATTGAGAGATAATTCAGAAATACAAAATTTACCGCTTTTAAGGTTCAGTGGTTTTTAGTAAATTCACAAAGTTGTGCAGCCTTCACTACTATCTAATTCCAGACCTCAGAAAGTGAAATGAGGGGTAAGGGGAGACTACTGTATATGATTTGTAAATACTTTTTTCCTAATTTGGGGGTTGTCTTTGTGGTTCCATGCCTTGATGAACCTTCAGTGTTGTGGAATATATTATTGGACACTGATTTATGAGAGAATGTGTCTTAGCAAGAAAGTGATCACTATTAAGTTATTTGCCAGTTTTGCTTGAGCTTCTTGTAAGAACCTTGAACTGACTCCAGTCCTTCTGGGAATAAGTCAGGTATAAATAAGTAGGAACTATTTGAAATGCTTAAGGTAAACACTCAATTACTGAAAACAAAATTAAATCGAAAGTGTATGAAATATTATTCAAAATCATCATTTGATTTCTCTTTGTAGGAGGAGCTCTTGGATATCAAAGAACGCCCTCATTCCAAACAAAGGCCTTCATGCCTCTCTGAAAAATATGACAGGTATTGCAGGGATGGTGGAGGGATTGCTTCTTCTAGTCAACTTCTTGTTATATTAAACTTGGTAAATTAAGAATTGTATTGTTTTGGAGCTTTTTGGTAGAATTATGAGTGGGGAGATATAAGGGTTTTTGACATTGGGCTTCAGTACAATATATTACAGATAAGCTATAAACATGACTAGCATTTCACTGCATTGTCTTCATCAGTTTCATTATTAATTTGCTTTGAACCATTAATTCAAAGATTTGAGCTGCAAGGGACTTTTAAGGACAACTAAACCATTTCCCTTTTAACTAACGGGTGATGAAACTAAAACTAGAAAATGACTTGGTCAAACTCACATGGTTAGAAAGCAGAATTAAGACTTGAACATCAGGGTATTTTCTCTCTACCAGTGGCTTCTGCACTGTGCTTTGAGGGTCCTTCTTCAAGGGTCTGCCCCAGGTACGCTGATCAGAACTCTGAGCCTTTTCATCTGTGCCCCGCCCCCACCTCTGTCAAACGAGTCATTCAGATTAGCCCTTTTGCATAGACTACATATGTAGTTCATGGGTGTAAGTGCTAACTGTTGGTACCCTTTGACTTGTAGTGATGGCGTCTGGGACCCTGAGAAGTGGCATGCCTCTCTTTACCCAGCTTCAGGGAGGAGCTCACCAGTGGAAAGTGTGAAGAAAGAGTTGGATACAGACCGGCCTTCCCTGGTGCGCAGGATAGTAGGTGAGGAAACACTCATAAGTGGGGCCAGTAATTTTGGAGACAATGCTCTTTGCTGCCGGCTTTATTCTTAGCTGTGAGAGTTTTATGCAGTAAGGGAAAGTGTCATTCATTATCAGGAAACTGGTTTACCAATTGTATTTTTCCTGATTAGCAGAGTAAAATCATAGCTTTCCTATGTAGCAGTGGCAAGTAGACATACTGGGCTATGTCCTTTCGAATGAAAAGTACTCATGTCTTTCATTGACGTGGATAACTGAATTACATGTGGTAGGGAACATATAGCTGTGCTGGAAATCTGGTCATGCTTAGTCTCATATCTGAGACTAGTCCTCAAGTATAAATCAGTTCTGGCAGTTCTTAATTCATAATGGATTATGGTCTGAATACAGGGTTTAGATATGGTTTGAGACTGGAGTAAAGTTTGATCTTCTATACCTTTACCCCTTTAAATTAGAAAAGATACTGAAGAGTGAAATGGAGACCTGGCAGTATAAAAACTAGTCAAGGAACTTGTTGCAAGAGGAACTCCTCTTGAGATGAGAAGACTAGACATAAAACAAATTTGGAACTGAGCAAAGAATATAGGGGTGACTCTAGTTTGAACTGTAAGACCCTTCTACACAAAATTTATCAGTATACTTAGTGCAGTAATGTCCCTCAAACAAAGAATTTATTCTAACAATCATTAACGATGTGCCACAAACTTTATTAAAATGATGAAAACTTAGAAGCAACCTAAGTGTCCAACAGTAGAAGGGGGTTGAGTATGTGTGAATATTGCATTATTTAGCTGTTAAAAACATGTTGGAGATGTATTTACTAAGTTATATGAAGCCACCCATATTACATCTTGCGTTGGAAAAAAATGACACTGCATGAAAGTTTTGGAAATGTACATACCGAAATGTTTTAGGAACTGATTCTGGTGAGAAGATTAAAAGAGGTTTTTCTCACTTGGACTTATCTTCAGTTTTCTGGTTTTTCTAGGAAGAGAGAGAGTGTGTGTGTGTGTGTGTGTGTGTGTGTGGACATGTTTATTTTTCTTACACCTTTATTGAGATATAATTGACATACAATAGACTGCACATAAAGCATACCATTTGATGTTTTAACCTGTGTATACATCTGTAAAACCATTACCACAATCGAAGTAATAAGCATTTCTATCACCCCCAAAAGTTTCTTAGTACTTCTATGAGTTTCTTCCTTACAACACTGATTTGCTTTCTGTAACTATAGTTTACATTTCCTAGAATTTAATTTACAGCATGCACTATTTGGGTCGTTTCTTTCACTCAAAACAGTTATTTTAAGATGCATTCATGTTGTTAGGTATATAAATAATTCCTTCCTCTTTATTGCCTAGTAGTATTTCATTGAATGAATTTGCCACTGTTCACTTGTTGATGGACATACGGGTTGTTTCCAGTTTTTTACTATTAACCAAAACTATGAGCATTCATGTACAAGTCTCTATGGAAACATATGCTTTCTTGTCTCTGGGGTAAATAGCTTAAAGCAGAATGGCTGGGTCCTATAGTAGATGTGTTTAACAAAACTGCCAAGCTGTTTTTAGAAGTGGTTATACCATTTTACAGTGCCGTATGAGAATTCCACTTACTCCACATCCTTGTCAGCACTTGGAATGGTCTTTTTTATTTTATTTTTTTTCAAATTATTAAAGTTTATTTAGAAAGTTATATAGGTAGTAGAAATGAGCCAACTGAGCTGCATAGGCCCAGGAAACAAGTTACAAAGGCAGAAGAAGGGCCTTTGGAGCATGGGAGAAAGAAAGGCAAAGGCAACGTGCCTGGGGAGAGAAGCTGGGCAATGGAAAGGCCTGGCGTGTTCCCAGGAGGGAGAGCATGGGGCATTCTGAGTGTAGCCATTTTAACAGATGTGTAGTAGTATCACATTATGGTTAATTTGCACTTCCCTAATGGCTAATGATGTTGAATATGTCTCCTCATACCATTTGTCCATGTTTTAATTGGATTGTTTTTTGAGTTTTTTAGAATTTTTATGTGTACTAGATACGGGTCTTTTATCAGATATATGATTTGAAATATTTTCTTCCAGTCTGTGGCTTGTTTTTGCATTCTTTGACTAGTATGCTATGTTCTCAAATAACATCATTTGTTCAGTGTTGTTTCATTTAAACACTGAGGAAATGCCATAAGAGTTTAACTCTTGCTTATATCAGTTAGCCTCTGATAAAATTGGTTTTGTGGTACATTGTTTCACTTAAATGACCTTAAGAGAGGAATTACCACCCTAGCCGGTTTGGCTCAGTGGTTTGAGTGTCAGCCTGCAGATTGAAGGGTCTTGGGATCGATCCCCAGCCCTTATCGGGGAGTGTGCAGGAGGCAACCAATCAATGTGTCTCTCTCACATCGATGTTTCTCTCTGTCTCTCCCTCTCCCTTCCACTCTCTAAAAAATCAATGTAAAAAATATCCTCGGGTGAGGATTAAATAAAAAGTATGTAATGTGCATGTTACTCTGTAGCTGTTTAGTGGTGACACTTTTCCAGTAACCCCACCACCACCAGTTATGAACATACCATTTAGAGAGGAAGAATGCCCTTGCTGGTGTGCTTAACTTTTTATTCTGGCATCTTTCCAGATCCACGAGAGCGCCTGAAAGAAGATGACTTGGATGTTGTTCTCAGCCCACAGAGACGAAGCTTTGGAGGGGGCTGTCACGTCACAGCTGCTGTTAGCTCCCGGCGCTCAGGAAGTCCATTGGAGAAAGACCATGATGGGCTTCGCCTGATTGGAGGGCGAAGAATTGGCAGTGGGAGGATAATCTCTGCCAGGAACTTTGAGAAGGACCACCGTCTTAGCGATAAGGATCTGCGGGACTTGAGAGACAGAGATCGAGAGAGGGACTACAAGGACAAGCGTTTCAGGGTTTGTCTTCTAGGTTATTTGGTACTTCGTGTACTTACGGGCTCAGTAGTCATTTCATTCATACCGGATTGCTTTGAGATCCTGGATGAATGCAGCCTATTCTTTAGCCAGATAGAGAGGGGTATAGAGAGCTGGATGGGGGCAGAGGGACTTCAAGTCTAGTATCTTCATTGCAGTATTGAGCATTACTTAATTCATCAAGGCCTTGATTGAGGTAAAAATACCTTAACTGGAATCTTATTTTTTATCTGCATTATGTACTTTTCCAGAGGGAGTTTGGGGATAGTAAGCGTGTGTTTGGTGAGCGTAGAAGAAACGATTCCTACACAGAAGAAGAACCAGAATGGTTCTCAGCTGGACCCACAAGTCAGTCTGAAACCATTGAGCTGACTGGCTTTGATGATAAGATACTAGAAGAAGATCACAAGGGGAGAAAAAGAACAAGGCGACGGACAGCCTCTGTGAAGGAAGGTAAGCAAAAGCTTTGGGAGGGAAGCTCACTGTTCTGAAATGAGATGTGATTATAATAGGCTTAATTATACACTTAGGAATGGGCACCATTTATTAGGAAGTAGCAAGTTCCTAAAGTTGCAGTCTGATTTTGAAACTGCTTCCTATACTATCTCCTCAACTTGCTCTGCCTGCAATGCTAAACAGAAAGGTCTCACATTACCCTGTTAAGAGCACTGTGTACACAAAAGGATTCCCCAGAGATAAGAGACCTGTGGTAGATATAATAAGGGGTCTCATTTATTGAGCACACTTTATGTACTAGACAGAGGGGTAAGCATTTTGTCTATATAATCCTACTTCTAACAATCCTGTGAGGTAGGTGCTTTTATGCTCATCTTATAGAAGGGACTTAAGTGACTCGTCTGGACACAAGGGAATAAGTAGTGAAGTTGGGAGTTGAACGAGATGTTCTATGCTCCAGAGTCCACCTTTTCCACTGTGGGGTTGGACCTTCCTAGGTCTGTGACTTGGCTTTTCCCAAACTATTTCCTCAGCTATGAGATAAAGTTAGATGTTTCCCTTGTTAAATTAAGGATGGCAAAGCTAATGTGTGAGATGCGCCTGGTACAGAGTGGGGGGCCCCATTAGTCGTTTTTAGGGCAGTAACATGGCTCTGAGGTGGCTAGCCCTGGACTGCTGGTAGTGGGAAGAAGCAGTGAAGAGCCAGGTGGGCAGGCCTGGGTTTTGAGTTCTGGAGCTACTGCTTAGAAAAAGGATACTCTGATAAAACTCTTAACAGGGGGCCCGTTTCTTTGTAAGATGAAGACAGTGCCTACTTTATAACTTTAAGGGTTACTTTTAGCATTGAAGATCAGATGTACACATCAGAGCTCAACCTATTGGAGACACTTATTTAGTAAATTCTAGTTCCTTCTACCTTACTGTTGTAGTTGGGGGGAAACATTTGGGCAGGTATTGGCAACAAAAGGGGAAAGTTATTTGAATGCCTGAGTATTTAATTGGTGCCACCTTAAAATTAGGAGGCTAAAACATATTTAAGCAGAAATAAGCTAATGGGATTTATTTAAGAGAAAGAAAGGGGAGAAATCACTCCCCCCCNACTGTTGTAGTTGGGGGGAAACATTTGGGCAGGTATTGGCAACAAAAGGGGAAAGTTATTTGAATACGTAGAAATTATCATTATGCTGTTGAACTTTCTTCCCTAAGGTGATGCAGGAAACTGATGGGTAACTTGGGAGACTTGCTATTAAATTGCCTTTGAGATACGCCTTTTTCTTATTTTCCATTAAACTAAAGCAGCTCCAGCAAATGTAGTCTTTTTCTCCTAATGTTAAAGATCAGGCTACTGGTGAGAAAAGCACATTTTTCCTCACTGAGATGAAATCTGAATTTTAACCATTCTTGTATCACCAAGTGGAGTAGCTAGAAGGAACGATATATATCAGTAGTGCCACTTCCTCACCTTACACATGCAAAAAGAGACAGGCCTGGAAAGGGGACAACCCAAAACCCCATCACGGGTTTTGTGGCAGAGCCTCAAGTAGAATCCAGTGGTCCTGGCTCACTCACCCCATCAGTTAATTGCAAAAGGCCCAGGCTATCCTAGTACCTACTGTATTTAAGATAAACTGGCACCCTGTAGTTTCATCTTGGCTGCAAGAATGAAAGGAGGGGAAGGGATGATGCGTGCCTTTTAGTCCATTTTTTAGACTGTATTCCAGATTTCCACTGACCTTATCATGTAGCAGTTCTCTGCAGGTATATACTAGTGCTGGGTATATGCAGTTAACAAGACATGTTTCTTGTCTGCATGATTTTAAAACATATGTATTGAGCACCTACTTTATACAGGGCCCACTGCTAAGTGATGTATATATGGTGGTGAATGAAACAATTTGAACATGTATTACACTTATAAGCAGGAAAAAAAATTATGTAGAAGGGGGAAATTATTAAAATCATCCATCTATAGAAATTTTTATTATTTTGTTGTTAATCCTCACCCATGGATATTTTTTTCCATTGAGTTTTAGAGAGGGAGGGAAGGAAGGAGGGAAACATCGATGTGAGAGAGACACCAGCTGGTTGCCTCCCGCACCTGCCCAACAGGGGCAAGGATTGAACCTGTGACCCTTTGGTGGGTGGGCTGATGCTAAAACCACTGAGCAACACTGGCCAGGGCGAGAAGTCTAGTTTTAAAGTCATCTATGGCTCTTCTGCATGTGTGGTAATAGCTGAGGCCACAGAATAAGTTTGTAGCAGTTCGCTTGATCAGACTTTTGTCCTGGTTTTGCTTTCAGGTATAGTTGAGTGCAATGGAGGAGTGGCCGAAGAGGATGAGGTGGAGGTCATCCTTGCACAGGAGCCTGCTGCTGATCAGGAAGTGCCAAGGGATGCCGTCCTGCCTGAGCAGTCCCCAGGAGAATTTGACTTTAATGAGTTCTTTAACCTTGATAAGGTGCCATGCTTGGCTTCGGTGAGTGTAGCAGCACACTTATAAAATGGATGGAGCAACTATATGGTTAAATTTGACCTGAGCCTTTAACATATGTCTTTTTGAAGTATTGCTAGATGCCTTGGGGGTTTTAGGGTTTCTTTTTTTTTTAATCCTCACCCAAGGATATGTTTATTGATTTGAGAGAGAGAGAGAGAGAGGCATCTATCGGTTGCCTCCCATATGCACTTCTACTGGAGGATCAAACCTGCAACCTAGGTGTGTGCCATGAGCGGGAATCGAAACCTGCAACCTCTTGGTGGATGGGATAATGCTCCAACCAACTGACCCACCTGGTCAGGGCTTGGCTTTTATTCTTAATATTTAATAAACTCTTACTTGAATTTTTTAATTCAAATAACTCCTTTGAATTTTTGTTGGCTTTGTTTTGAGAGCCTTAGTGGAAATGCCTGAGAATTCTATACTAGTTAACTCTTTTTCCAGGTTGGTAGCATTGGACTAAGAATTCTTTGGATGTTTAAGAATATTGACTGCCTTTATTATTTATTAATCATTTTTTATTTTTCAATTAGTCAAAATATATTAGTTTCAGGTGTACACCCCAGTGATTAGACATAAAACTTAAGTCATCACCCCCATCTGACACCATACATAGTTATTAGAATATTATTAACTATATTCCCTATGCTGTATTTTATATCCCCACTACTATACTATACTAATTTGTACTTCTAAATCCAGTCACCTTTTTCACCCATCCCTCCAACCCCCTTCCCATCTGGCAAACCATCAAAATGTTCTCTGTATCTATGAGTCTATTTCTGTTCTGCTTGTTCATTTATTTTGATTTTTATTCAATTGTTGATACGTATTTATTGCCATTTTATTTCATATTTTTTGTCTTCTTAAAGGATATCTTTTAACATTTTGTGTAATACTGTTTGATGTGTAATACTGTTTGGTGGTGATGAACTTTAGCTTTTCCTTGTCTGGGAAGCTCTTTATCTGACCTTCAATTCTAAGTGATAGCTTTGCTGGGTAATCTTGGCTGTAGGTCCTTGCTTTTCATCACTTTGAATATTCTTGCCACTCTCCTGGCCTGCAAAGTTTCTGTTGAGAAATCAGCTGACAGTCTTATAGGAGCTCCTTTGTGGGTAATTAACTGATTTTCTCTTGCTGCTTTGAAGATTCTTTGTCTTTAATCTTTGGCATTTTAAGTATGATGTGTCTTGATATGGGCCCCTTTGGATTCATCTTGTTTGGGACTCTGTACTTCCTGGACTTGTATGTCTATTTCTTTCACCAGGTAAGGGAAGTTTTCTCTCATTTTTTTAAAAATAGGTTTTCAATTTCTTGCTTTGTCTCTTCTCCTTCTGGCATTCCCACAATGCAAATGTTGGTACACTTGAAGTTGTCCCTGAGGCTCCTTACACTGTCTTCTAATTTTTGGATTCTTTTTAATTTCTGCTGTTCTGATTGGGTGTTTTTCACTTCCTCATATTCCAAACCACTGATTTGATTCTCGGAGACCTCTGCTGTTGATTCCCTGTAAATTACTCTTCACTTTAGTTAATGAAGCCTTCATTTCTGACTGGTTCTTTTTTATGGTTCTTATGTCCTTTTTCATGCTGTTGAAGTTCTCACTAAGTTTCTTGAGCATCCTTATAATCGTCGTTTTGAACTCTGTATCTGGTAGTTTGCTTGCTTTCACTTTATTTAGTTCTTTTTCTGGAGACTTATTTCTCCTGTTCTTTCATTTGCAGCATGTTTCTTTGTCTCCACATTTTGGCTGCTTCCCTGTGTTTGTTTTTGTGTATTAGGTAAAGCTGCTATGACTCCTGGAATTGGTAGAGTGGCCTTGTGTAGTAGGGCCCAGTGACACAGCCTCCCCAGTCACCTGAGCTGGGTGCTCCGAGTGTACCCCTGTGTGGGCTGAGTGCACTGTCCTGTTTTAGTTGAGCCTTGATTGCTCTTTGCAACACTGGGAGGGAACGACCCCCAGGCAAATTTTCTGAGGACCAGCTGCAACTACAGCGGAAGAGCTGCTGTGCAGGAGACAACCCTACAGAGCAGGACTTGCTTTAATGGGGCTTTGGTGCTCACCAAGTCCACCACTTAAATGTGTCGCTCATGGAGGTGGTAGAGTTGTAATCCAGCGTGGTTTGAAGCTGTCTACCAGGTGCACTGGTTCTGGGGCCTCCCAGGAGGTGCAGAGTCAGCCACTGCCTGGAGCCACCTGGCATGAGCTACAGAGTGATCTGCAGATGGCTACTACTTGTGTTGGGCTTAGAGTTGCCTGGGAGAGGTCAAGCTGTGAACCAAGGCAGGTTGCTGCTAGTGTAGACCTGGGGCCACTTAGTGAGAGGTATTGGGCACACTGGGGCCAGCTGCTGCTTGTTTTGAAGCATGAGGCAAGAGAGGCCAGTTGTATAGAAAAGCCACTGGAAATGGCTTGGATGAGCCCAAAAGTTGGGTGGGGTGGGGCCCTAAGAAATTACCAGGGCAGAGCTAATAGCTTTAGCAGGGTTGATGGAGACTGAGACATGGTGCCCATCTGCAAGCTTTGTGGGGGAAAGGCTCAGCAAAGGAACAATGGCCTCTGCCAGCACTTTTGCCTGGCAGAATGCTGCCCCCAGCTCTTGCCCTGATGCCAGACAATTTAGTTCCTCCCCATATGTCTGATTCCTTTCAAGCTCCTGTTCCAGAGCTGGAGCTCAGAGGGCGTGAGTCCAAGTAAGTCCATGCATGGGCCCTTTAAGAGGAACTGCCTAGGACTCCAGCAGCCTCGCCTCACCTCGTCTCCCATCTCCCTCAGCTTCAGTTCCCACTAGTTTGGTTTTTGGTTTCTTCGTTGTTGTTGTTGTTGTTTTAATATGTCTTTATTGATTTCAGAGAAAGGAAGGGAGAGGGAGAGAGAGAGATAGAAACATCAATGATGAGAGAGTCATTGATCGGCTACAGCCCACAACCCGGGCACGTGCCCTGACCGGGTATCGAACCCTGATCGCCTGGATCCTAGGTTAATGTTCAACCGCTGAGCCACACCCAGCCAGGCTCTTCGTTATTTTTTTAATCCTCACCCAAGGGTATTTTTTCCATTCATTTTTAGAGAAAGTAGAAGGGAGGGGTGGGGGAGAGAGAAACATCGATGTGAGAGAGAGACATTGGTTGCCTCCTGTATGCTCCCCAACCATGCTGGAGATTGAACCTGCAGCTAAGGTATGTGCCCTTGACACGGAATCAAACCCACAACCCTTTGGTGCACAGGCCAACGCTCTAACCACTAAGCCACAATGGCCAGGGCAACCCCCACTGGTTTTTACAACCTGAAGTTACGGGGACTTCTCTTCCCTGCATTGGAACCTGGGCTGAAGGGTCTGGTGTGGGGCTGGGCCCCATAGCTCCTTGAGGGGTGGACCTCCACAGCTAAGATATCCCTCCCGATTAAAAAATGCCACACATGGGTATGGGACCAGCCCATTCTGCCCTTCTGCTCCTCCACCAGCCTTGATGGGGCTTTTCCTTTAATTCCCCAGTTGTAAGACTTCCATTCAGCTAGATTTCAGGTGGTTGTGAATGATGGTGGTTCTAAAGATTAGTTGTATTTTTTTATGTAGTTGTGGGAGGATCTGAGTACAGTGTTTACCTATGCTGCCATCTTGATCGGAAGCCCCTACAGTAAATCCTCTCTGCTTTTATTTTTAAGTATTTCAGGGTTTGTTACATAGACTTACTGTAGAGGTGGATTTTTATAACTGGTAAGATTGTTATCATGCTGATTTGCATTCCTTGGGTAAGGCTGGCTGTTTAGGTGGTACCTTTGTGATGTGATGGTTCTGAAAAGCTTTAGTGAAAAGGAACTTGGGATACTGTCAGTGCTGCTGTTAAACAATTGAGGTCTAGTCTTTCTCGACCTTTAAAGTAGAAACGGTAAGACATTCCCAGTCTTCATTTGCTACTTGCCCTTGCTCCTATTCCCTTCAGCCATTTAGGGATTGGTGTAGCCTCATCAAATTTTTGGAGAAAACATAAAACTGTAGCCTACATACACAGAAATGAGTTTTTCTGTGGTTGCTGAAAGAGCCGACAACTCTGTTGAAGTAGAATTTAAAAATCATTTGACCAACAGCATCTGTACATTCCAGATGTCCCATTTATAACACCAAATACAGCAAGTAAGTTTGACTAGTCTTTTAGAATTCATGGAATTTAACTTCAATAACTCTACTGCTCCTTGTTTGATTAGTGCATGAGCAGACAAAACTCGGCACAACAGAGCAGACAGCATTGACTTTGGTCATTTGCCTGCCCCACCCCACCCCCAACCTCTAAAAGATGGCCATCCAGAATAGGTGAGCAGACACTACATAGCGTATTAGGTATAGGGTTACAGATGAGTTAGTTCTAGGGTAGTACTTAAATTCTCTGGTTTTATTTCCAGTCCATTGAGGGCAAATACTTCAGCACAAATGTCACCGCAATGACAAACTGCTATAAAAGTCTCTAAGCACTTATTCTCACTCTGACCTTATCTCTATGTGGACCAGCATAGTTCAAGACCACACTTTTCTACAGCACAGTCATTCATCGGCTACCTCCTACACGGCCCCTACTGGGGATTGAGCCCGAAACCCTGACTGGAACTGGGAATCGAACCATGACCTCCTGGTTCATACATCGACACTCATCCACTGAGCCACATCAGCCAGGCTATAGCAGCAATTTTATAAGTTTCCTAGCCAGATACCTTACTAGGTAGCCAATAGTCCTTTGGCTCATTGTAGGAGAAGGGTTGCATCCAGATGTGAGCCTAATTTACTTGATGTAAAATTGAGTGGTCCTGTCAAAATCTTAGCTTTCAAGGGGACAGTAAATTTTTTATTTTAATGATAACTGTTTAGTGACTTTTTTTTTTTTCATTCTCTAAGAAGACATGAAAATCTTGCTGTAAAAAGTTTTCATAGTAAGAGGTCAGGATTTAAAGGCCTGTACTTGGCTCCAAATGTTAGCATCTACAAAACTAACTGCCCGGCCAGGCGTGGCTCAGTGGTTGAGCATTTACCTAGGATCCAGGCAATCGCAGTTGAATTCCCGGTCAGGGCACATGCCCGGGTTGTGGGCTTGATCCCCATTTGGGGGCATGCGGGAGGCAGCTGATCAATGACTCTCTCTCATCATTGATGTTTCTCTCTCTCTCTCTCATAAAGATATATTTTTTAAAAAATAAAAATAAACTTATCTTTGTGCTGAGGCAGAGGGAGAATTCAAAACTAAACATTAATGATATGTAACTAATACACATAGTGCTGACTGTTTCAGGCTTTACATACAAGTTATTTAATCCTCACAAAACCATTATAAATTAGCTTACTACTGTTTCCATTTTATAGATGTAGAAACAAGCACAAGGTTGTTTAGATATCTTGCTCAAAGTCACACAGTAAGTGTGTACAAACTGAATTCTAATTTATGCAGTTTCAGTTAATTGTCTCTGCTCTTAATTCCCCACAATTATACTGCCTCTAAAGCATAAGAGAGGAATAGGAACTCAGCACCATCTTATCCTTTGGCCCTCACCCACAACCAAAACTTGGCTAATGCTGAGCAGTAGGTTCTCCATGTTTTCCATGGAGGTACTGTTCATTAAGGCATGTATACTATAAAAGACTCATTTTAAACAAAACTGAGGTCAGTATAAACTGATGCTCTGATTATGCTATATAACCAGCTGAACTCTGATACATTGCTCAGAAAATGACCAGTCAATTGGGAAAAATAAGAAAGACTAAGTAGGAATTGAATATCATTTAATAAATGTTGTATAAAGTGCTTGAAGTACTACTTAGTAAGCTCCACAAATGTTGAGTATTAGTAGGTATAAGCAGAATTATAACCTATATTTGTGGGCTATATTTACTGGCATTATAATATATTAGAAGCTGATAGCCACAAACTGAACATTTGGATCACTTGTGCAAATAATTTCATTTAAATAATAAAAATAAGTTATTTTAGGTATGATGCAACTCTTACCACAGTGCCTAACACATATCAGATGCTTAAATATGTTGAATGAATAAAAAAGGAAATAAAGACAAATTCTAACACTATTTGGAGTGATGAACAGGAACATAACATAGAATACCCTTGGTGGAGTAATTGAAAGTATGCTTACAAGAAAACTTAGAGCTTTAAATGCATTCACTAGAAATCCCCAGAAAATCAGACTACAGTGAAACAAATACAAAAATACAAACAATTGTGTAAAAGTAGAAAGTAATAAAAGAAAAGCATTGATCGATAAAATGTAGTAATTGTCGAAGATCAAAAATATTTCACAAAATCTATCTGATAATCAAAATAATATGAATCTTAGGATATGACTTGTCTAAATGTCTTTGTTTGAGGAACCAGACTAATAGGTTACCTCAAAAGTGCTATAAAAAAACCTAGTCTAGAAAGAACAGCTGAAACATTAGAATGCAGTTCAGTCTTCTCGACCAGCTCATGGCTGACAAGAATGTAGCAGAGGATGTTGTGACAAAGGAATCAGAGTTATGGGTCCAGGTCTCCATGCCCTGTGCCAGGGAGCTGTAGGGGAGGCACTGCTGTTAGAGCATCCCAGCTTGCTCTGTGATAAAAATGACTGACTAGATAAACTCTTAAGGATTCATCTCAGGTTTAAAATGCTTTAGTTTCTTGTAATTGGCATTTCCAGTAAATGTATATAAAAGTAACTTTGTTTCTACTTTTTATGTTTTAGCTATAATAAAATTTAGTTTCTTTAAACAAAACAAAGTTGGTAGCTGATCAAAATATGGAAATTACTTTCTCAACACTTACTTTCATATCTTTAGAAAATATCCAGATATTTTATATTCAAGTCGTTTGCTTTTCATGTTCCTTCTGTATATCTTCTGACTTTTTTCCTATATAGTATGATAGAGGAAATAAAAGGATTAAAATGCAAAGCCATTTTTGCTATTCATAAAATGTCAAACTCTTTTCAACATTAAAATATTTTTAATATCTATAGCTTTTAGTTACTTTTAAAATAATTTCTATTTATCACTAAGGTACAATTCCAAATTTTTCACAGTGCCACATCACTCATAATACTTCTCTTATACTGTAATTATTGCAAGTGCACTTGTAAGTCAGCATTGTTTAAGGTATGAGTCTACAAGTAGAATGCCACTGAAACTATCTGAATAATACCTCAGGAAATAGAAGTACCACAAATAATGATCAAATTAGTGTCTTGAATTAAAATCCCTTCTCTTGTGTGAAAGAAGCATTTTGTGGCTTAGATTGGGTATGAGAAAATTCTTCCAGATGAGAATAAAAGAATAAATCTTACCATCTACTGCTGAACTTTGGAAACGGGGGGTTCTAGACTTAAGATAAAAGAGTGACTAACTCTGTCATCCATGTACCAGTGTTGGGGGGAAATGTGTTTTCTGTTTTTTATTGGTATAGAAGTAAAAGTTTATGCCTTATTTTCAAGGATGTGCCTCATTTTTGGATTGACATTTATCTTTTCTAAATATTGATAATACTATACTGCATAAAGGTCCATTTGGATATTTAACTGGATTTATGATAGGGTAGAACTGAAAATTGAAAATTTCATTTTTAAAAAATGTTTAAATCTAGTTTTTAAGAAGGATTGGTAATAGAAATTACTATTATTAAAGTGTTGAAGAAATTATTTCTAATCGTAGTGCATCATTTAGCTGGCCTTATTAAGCCAAAAACAACGGAAGTCGGATTTAAAACAAAACAAACACCTGAAAACTCCTCATTAAGTTCAAACAGATATTAGAGATCAGTTAAAAGTTCATCTTTCACATTCTGATACTTTCTAAACTTTGACGTGGAGTTGTGATCTATGAGCTCTACTTATTAGCTTTTGGCTTCTGAAATTATCAGCATTGAGTTTTATGTTCATTACAACCACGAGGATGTTTGAAGCAAGGATTTTCTTTCATCAGCTTCCCATGCCTGATGTTTAGTTGAAGGCCACTCCTCAGGTTGGCAATGGAATGCTTTACTCCTGGTGCTGCTGGTTTTCTGATGAGGCAAAGGACAGGAAAAAAACACTTTCTGAGGCACACAGGTTTGCTTTATATGCTTAGTAAGTAAATGGTTGGTTATGCTCCAGTTTGGGTTACTCAGAAATGACCCAGGAGGGGAAGAAAAATGAAAGATGTTCAAAATCCTAAGTTCTGAAAGTGTTTACCTTCAGGTCAGCTGCTTCAAAGGAAGTATCAAAGTAAGTGACTCTTTCTTAAAATTTGAAACTTCTTGTCCCTTTCACCTAGAAACTATTATCTTAGCTCCTTTTGTCTTTCCTCTTAGATGATAGAAGATGTTTTGGGAGAAGGGTCAGTCTCTGCCAGTCGATTCAGTAGGTGGTTCTCTAACCCAAGCCGATCAGGAAGCAGATCCAGCAGTCTTGGGTCAACACCACATGAAGAACTGGAGAGACTTGCAGGTAAAATGGCTTCAGATTCTGGCCTTGGACATAGACTTGAGCTTTCTCTGACATTGTTCATTGTCTTCATTAGTCAGGGGTCCTTTAAGGTTAAAGGGTCTCTGGATGTTGAAAAAAGGCTTCAATTGTGTCCTTTTACTACTATTGAAGATATGCTTCTGTGCTTTATTGGGATCAATTATGAATATATTTACTTGCAATATTAGGTCTGGAGCAAGCCATCCTCTCTCCTGGACAGAATTCGGGGAATTATTTTGCTCCTATACCATTGGAAGACCATGCTGAAAATAAAGTGGATATTTTAGAAATGCTACAGAAAGCCAAAGTGGATTTAAAACCTCTTCTTTCCAGTCTTTCTGCAAACAAAGAAAAACTTAAAGAGAGCTGTAAGTGTTTACTAGAGTCTGCTTTAAACAGATTTTTTTTAAAAATATATCTTTATTGATTTCAGAGAGAGGAAGGTGGGGAGAGAGAAAAACATCAATGATGAGAGAGTCATTGATCGGCCACTTCCTGCACGCCCCCTACAGGGGATTGAGCCCACAACCTGGGCATGTGCCCTGACTAGGAACTGAACCTCCATCTCCTAGATCATAGGTCAACGCTCAACCACTGAGCCACACCAGCCAGGCAAGAGTCTGCTTTAGTTCTCTGAAAAAGCTTGAATACTCAGTCTTGAGACAGTTAATTCTAACATACTGCTATTTCATCAAAAGTCAAATATATGGTGGGTTTTGTTTAACATTCTTCAAAAAAAACTTTATCAAATACCCCCCTTTAAGAACCTTAGTAGTCAGTGGGTCCCTAATAACCCTTCCACCAGCTCCTCCTTACCTGGAGCCCATTTATAACACTCTAGTGAATGCTGTCTTCCTGAGCATAATTTGGCAGCTCCTCGCATCTTTACTCCAATCTGCCATATTCTTGTTTAGGTTATAAGCCTTCAACATAAAACCTTAGTGATATAATAACCATAGTGCTGGTGGCAGTCTTGCTGATGATGGACTATCTGGGATTCCTGTCCCTGGTAACAAGTCTCCAGAAGACTATTATAAGAGGTCCTCGTACAGGATGCATAGCAGGATCTTGTCAAGTCTGAAAGCATAGCTTATGGTCCCCTTGTCTTTAGTACCAAAGCATTTTAGGTTTAGCTTATGCCATCTCTTACTAAGTACACAATTATGGCCTAATTTCAACTGAGCAACAATGATTTTAAGCGTATTCAGTCTGTTTTTGGTGTGAGCCTTTTTTATTTTCACCTTAACCATCACGGTATCCACATATTCCTTTGCTTGCTTAACCTGGACTTTCTCAACCCTTCAGCACATTCAGGGGTTGTGCTTTCAGTGGAAGAGGTAGAAGCAGGACTCAAGGGCTTGAAGGTGGACCAGCAGCTGAAGAACTCAACCCCCTTCATGGCAGAGCACTTGGAGGACACCCTGAGTGCTGTGACCAGCAATAGACAGCTCAAAAAAGATGGAGACATGACTGCGTTCAACAAGCTAGTGAACACCATGAAGGCAAGTGGGACTTTGCCTTCTCAGCCCAAAGTCAGCGTAAGTATTTGACACAGACCCCAGCCTTTCCCTCTTTCTATTCCACTGCCCACAATAAATGGATTTTTGAAAATGTTTCTGAGTAAGTTGGAAATTTTTTAGTAGTCATTTGGTCCTTTGATGCTTTTGTGTGTTCTTTAATTATCACTATGCTATTTGTTACTAGAAAAAGCAGGTTTGTGGTTAATCTATATGTGTTGTGCGTGACAGTATAAAGCTTGAAAAAGTAAGACATAACTTTAAGTCAGTGCTTTAAAAAAATGGTGAAGGAAAAAAAAAATGGTGGAAAATATCTTTTTGGATGAGCTCCAAAGAAAGTTTTGTTTGTTCAGCTACTGTTTAAAATAACTTACTGTGTATTTATAGTAGATCTTTCCTCACCTTCTAATTACACCCAAATACCTGGGATTACCTGCTTTCTTGATTAGGTACTTGGCAGTTATACAAAACCTTTGTAAAGTAGGATGAATTTTTTTCAAGACAATTGTATTCTGTTAATTTACTAATAGAAAAAGTTGTGACTTCAAACTTACAAAACACCTTTAGGCATGAAGTTGGGTTACAAGGTGACTGCATATCGTAAATGCAGGTGTGTAGTACATATTGATCTTTGTCCTAACACTGATCTTTGTCATAACACATTAGAGGGTGGTTCTCAGCCATGGCCTATGTGTCAGTATTGCTACCCCTTGAAGCAAGTGATAAAGGAAGCAGGGTAAACCTGAAGAATAAAAACATAGACATTCCATGTGCTGTGTTATAGCATATTTACCAAATTGAGTGTTGCCTCTTGTTTTCTCCTTATACCTTCTTGTCTGGGAACTACAAGTTAGCTGTGGCAGCCATAGGTATTTGATTCATTATGCCTTGACCATGGAAAGGGAACTGATTTTTGGTGTTTCTCATATGACCAGCAGTTAGCGATAGAGATTCCAACAGAAATGTCATTGTTCCTGGCCTTACTGCTAGAACTGTCCACCTCTGAAAGGTGGTACCTCAGGTAGGTCTTTATTCCTATGTATCTGACCACACTATGCCAATTTAGGGGAATACTTCTTATAAACTGCTTTAGAGTTATTTCCATACAAAGAATTATTAGATAAAAATTCTTTCAAACAAGGGCCAGATTAAAAGATTGCAAACTATTCTGTACTCCTTTCTTGTTACCTTTGTGTCTTGGTGACTGGATCAAATTTTGTAACTTCTTTCTTTTAGTGTGAGTAAAGAAATGAGAACAGGAAAATTCAATAGTTAATATGATGCTTTTGAACATTTTTCAGATATGGGTACGATTCTAGGGTTTGATAGTAACATAGTTGACTCTGAGTTGTCAGAGGAACTATTTCAGTGTTTGCGTTTCAGTGCTCTGAAATATGTCTGGTTTCAGCCGAAGGATTGGGCCTCAAGCACCTACATAAAGGGATGGATGATATAATTCAAGTTGCTAGGCAAAAAGTAACAGAAACTCAACCTAGAAAAGAAAGTAACAAGAAAAATAATGTAATAAGCACACCAGGCATGATCCCAAAATATTGCTTGATTTGCATGTTGTTGAGTCATGGTCTATATCTAAAAACAAGGTTTTTTTTAATTACTGTGGCTGTGTGTGTGATGTATATTATTTCTGATCTGCCTACATCTGTTTAGGTTCAATCATATTGTTTCATCCCCTAAACATGCTGGTTCAATCTGAACTCCATTTCAAATTGAGTTGTTCTTTGTAGTAAACCATGAAGTATAAAGTTGCCTATTTGGTTTTTGTTAGAAAGAATTAAATTACTCTGAAGGATATCTTATTAAAATTATCTGCAGCCAGTCCCAATTCAAAAACCAATAAAACATTTGGATATCTTTGGGCTGTTTGTCATGCCAAGCACACTGCTGTGGACTTTGGCATCTCTACCTAGTGGAAGGGAAACTGTATGAAAGAAAGCACTTAGGCATGAGGATGTACTGAAGTGCAGGAGGTAATGCAAGTTGAATGCAAAACGTAACTGTGACTTCATTAAAAGAGCAAAAAATGGAGGATTTGAATTTCGCCCTGTATGTGAGACCAATTTGAAACAGCTTGCTTATAAATAATAAACTTTAATTTTCCTGAAATATGAAACTGAATTATAATAAATCTAGCCACATCTGCACATTGTTTACTAGATTTTTAGTATCGCCTCATATGTAAATCTTGTTAAAGATAAAGGGTAGCAAAGGTTGCCTCGAAAACAAAAATCTATAAATTATCCAGATTTCCTGCATATGGTTTCTTACTAAATAAGTACTCCCCCGTTTCACCATTTCTTTTTCCCTTCTTTTGGTCCGTGTTAGAAACAGTTAAATGGACTAGGGTTACTACAGGGAGGAAAAGACCTTGTCTGAAGGTCTCTGAATGGACTGTACATATACATGTGAAGATTCTTTCAGGTTCCAGATCTTGGGGACCTATGTGATGAGAGAATGGAACAGGTTGTTTTAAGTTAGTTTTCTGTGACTTTGACATTATTCTGCTGTTAATTGTTGACTCCCTGAAGAGTTTTTAATGCTTTCTTGTGGTCCCTAATTAATCTTTAAGTTAAGTGTGTAAGGTTAAAATCAGTTTTCGTTTGACTTTTTTAGCGAAACCTTGAAAGCCATTTGATGTCACCTGCTGAGATTCCGGGCCAGCCTGTCCCTAAGAACATCCTGCAGGTACTTCACAATCTTATACCTAAGCCTTGGAGTCCTGAGCAGTAGTCCTCTGGGTTTTTGCAGTGGTCCAACTTTGGGCCTTAGAGAATGATCCATGTTGCCTGGCAGTTGAGGATATGTTGCTGCCTAACATAGTTTTGTGTTGCTGTTAGTCTCAATGTAGGGTGGGGAGGTAGATAAAAAGAAAAAAATGACAAAGCAAGCGCTTGACTTCCAGTTTGCAGGTTTGCAATTTCTATGAAAATTTAAAGTATCCTGTATTTATAGCACTAACTTAAAGCAGTGTTGCTAACTGAATATTCAGAGAAATGTGTTGCATGTACATGTGACAAGTCCTTCAGTGGAGCATGAGGGAGTTTCATCATTGGCTTCCAAAAGTCAATCCCTAATCCATAGCCTCTAAGAGGGAGAACTAGATTTGTTCACAAGGATTTGACTTTTCTGCCTTTAGGAACTTCTGGGTCCACCAGTTCAGAGACCTGCTTCTTCCAACCTTCTGAGTGGCCTTATGGGGAGCTTGGAGCCTACAACATCTTTACTGGGCCAAAGAACACCATCTCCTCCCTTGTCACAGGTGTTTCAAACACGAGCAGCCTCAGCAGACTACCTTCGTCCTCGACTACCATCACCAATCGGTAAATACTCGTGTAGATGTCCGTCCATCCATCCTCCTCATGCCATGCGCATTTCCCCACCCCCACCCCCATGACCAAAGTTATACTTGTCCCCTAGAATTAGCAAAGTCTTTTCATTGGCATCCTTGACGACTTTAAAAAGAAATGTGTGGATTTATTACACTTTTTTTTTTACACGGGTGGTGGGAACACAAATGTAGGACATACTTTATTATCCAACTGTCCCTGTAGATAAGTAAGTTCATTTTATAGTTTTGTGTTTTTCTCTTGAGATAGATCTAAATTGGATCCAGCTTAGTCTTATTTTGGGAATTCAATCCAAAAAAGTTAATTTGACCTCCTAGGTTTTTTTATTGATAGAGTATGTCAGACTAGTGGTTCTTTACCAACCTAACGAAGTTGATATATCACATTCAACTGTAAAGTCTGTGGCTAATTCAGAATATGAATGGAAACACTTCCAGAAAGCTATCTTAGTAATGCGTTGGGCAGAATCTCATAGTGTTACTACCACCCTGGATTACTTTAGGTTGCCGGCCACCCTGACTCCTGCCAATCATGTCTTCAGAGGAGGTTTTTTGTAATCTTCCCTCCACAATGAAAAGAGTGTGAACCTCAGAGCACTGGTTTCTGCTTTGGTATTAGCTGGCTTGGTGGTAATGGGCCAGATCACTGGCTAGTAAAGCTCTTCTCTCACAGATAGAGATCTCAACTCTGAAAGGGACAAAGCTGACAGCTTAGTGGGGAAGATGGATACAGTAGCAATTCAGGTCATTAAGTGCTGATGTCCACATAGCCTGCTGGGGGGGTGCAGAAGAGGGACATCATCAGCCTGAGAAGACATACTACTAGAAAGAGATGGTATTCAGGAACAGCATGTATTGGTGATAATGCCTCTCTGATGGACATGTGCTATCTTGACACTCACTGATACTGTAACTTTTCCAACAGGTTTCACACCAGGACCACAGCAGCTACTCGGAGATCCATTCCAAGGCATGCGCAAGCCCATGAGCCCTGTCACGGCCCAGGTCCAGCTGAGCTCTTTGTCAAACACAATCTATTGCTTGCTTTTCACCTTGACTGTTGTTTATGGGGTGGAGAATTAGATTGCTGCAATTTTTGGAGGTGGTTTTGAACCGTACTTCAAGCTCAACTATAATTCAAGTGAAGGCTAGAAAATTGGTGAACACTTAAAGTCATATTTCAGTAGTCAAAATCCTGTTTGGTAGATAGTACTATTTAGTCAGGTTAAAGCATCTAATTTCTCTCAGCTGCTGCTGAAAGAGTGAAAAGAGACCTTTGTATAAAGTTCATTGTCCTTATTCTGATCCTCTGCCACTTCTCTTCAGCAGATGAGCCAGCTAGAATTGCAACAGGCAGCAGCTTTGGAGGGGCTGGCCCTGCCACATGACCTTGCAGTGCAGGCAGCAAACTTCTATCAGCCTGGTTTTGGCAAACCACAGGTGGACAGAACCAGAGATGGATTCAGAAACAGGTAAGTTACTAATCCTACCCTTGTAGGGATTTGCAATTTAATTTTCCTCGGGTTAGCATATTAGTTATCCACAGTATAATTCTGTTGTAAACACTGATATGTACAACATATGGTGAGAAATCCATGTCCAGATATTCAGTAAAGGGAATAATGGTTGAATTCTACTGCATGGGAATAGGCTTTTCATCCTGCATAATTTTATTTATATTCTTTTTTTAAAATTTTTTGTTGTTACTAATCCGCACCTGAGGATTTTTTCCCCCATTGCTTTTCAGAGAGTGGGGGGGGGGGG